TCCTGTTCCTATTGCCTGTTGCCTGGCATTGTGCAAGGGGCTTTATACCGGCCCTATCTTTTTCTATTTAACATCAATAGAAAAAGAGATTTTTCATTTTTCACGTTTCCACCCTAGGGGAAAAGATTCATGATTGACCCCCTGAGATTCAGTTTTAAGGTCTGTGTGTCCACGATGCTAGAAGGTGTAAAGGTGAAATTTCATGGGCAGTGAAAAGCAGCAGCAGATCGTACTGATTGGCTACAAAATAGAAAAGTTCTCGAGTTCCTAGAACTTCCTTATTTTGTAGCCAATCAGTACAATCTGCTGCTACTTTTCACTGCCCATGAAATTTCACCTTAATGCTAAGACTCCATAGACGCGGAAACGCCGTGCGGTAGAGTGCGTTGACCAATCAGAAGGCTGCCGCAAGTCGCCTGCGGCAAAATCAAAATTTGTGATTGGTCAACGCACTCTGCCGCACGGCGTTTCCGCGTCTATGGAGTCTTATGGAGGATTCACATTGCGTCCGATCACGTCCGATGTTCGACGTACGACGATCCGACATCCAATAACAGAATTTATTATTAGAGACAAAAATTTCCTATTGGATGTCGGATCGTCGTACGTCGAACATCGGACGCAGTGTGAATCCTCCATTAGCATAAGTGCCCATCTACAATGAGGTTCTTCACTAACTTTTGCTCCCGCACAGGGGAGCCACTGTGCCTGGTAGCTAACGGCGCAAATTTCAAAGCAGCGAAAAAATAAAAAAGAATTGTAATAATAATAAGTGGCGAAAAATACGCATAGTGGTCTGTGGAAAAATTAAAAAAAGAGCTCCGTTCTCGGGGAACAAAAGTAACGGGGAAAAAGAAGGATTTACAAGATCGGTAAAATAGATCGTCAATATAGGTTATTATGTCTAATATACTCTTTACCCGGCGAACCAAATTGTAACAGAGTTATTTCCGTTAATGAATGCGAACAAACATTATCGATTGACATACAGTCATAATATTTTTATTACAATACAGATTTTTCCCATATGTTAACACGTGGTGTTTGAAACTCGCGCGGAATACTACCCACGTTTGATATGGTGCTGCACTCTATGCTAGCTTTCACTGAAGAACCTCATAGGTGTTTTAAACCCTTAAGCCCTAAGAAATTGACCAATCACAGTCGATTATTCTCCTCAAATTCGACTGTGCGTGGTCACGTCTACCACACACCAACACGGCCATTTTGAGGGGCCTAGCACCCTAGCCCCTAGTTGGCCAAACTCTGGATTCTAGGGACTCTAGTCAGTGTGAGTGATACTGATCACGACTCACGAAAATTCCTTTGATTAGCTAATATCCCATCTTGAGAGCTGTTGAGAGCCCCCACCTGAAGACTAGCCAATCAGAGTACGTCTCTTTACGTGGATACAGCCTGAGGCTGGTTTCACATGGGGCGTAAGATGCGTATGCGTAACTTGCGTCAGCCAATCAAATCGTCTCAGTATTTAATCGTATCATACGCGTATAGTAGCTGAGATGATTTGATTGGCTCACGCAAGTTACGCATACGCATCTTACGCCCCATGTGAAACCAGCCTGACTAATGAATACCGGCCCTAGTCCTAGAGAAAAAAACGTCAACACTCAATCGCGTGGGTCGAAAAATTCTATGTATACATACATATGTATGGACACTGTATATAGTCCAGTTTGTAACTACACGTGATTTATTCACCACCTGAAGTATTCAATGATATTTTTACAAACCTTGATCAATACGGCGTAACTTGGCACGCTTGTTTAAACCTTTAATTATTTAAGGTGTGTAATGAAACGTGTTTGTTTATTTAACCTGCGTCTAATAAACAAATGTTGACTTTATTGTTGGTTCCCTTCACGCGAATATCCGTCCATGCTTTATGTGTCGTTGATTTTACATTTTATCGCGACTAATATTGTCTTGGTTGATCACGTTTAACTAAACATGCGTGTTAAAATGAAGACGTAATAATATTGGATACGTTATATTTGAATAAAGCTCGGTAAAAAGCTACGTATGTGTAGCTCGATGTATCACGTCGTGTTGATTGTTTTCAATGGGCGCGTAATAAACACCATCAAGGCCCAAGGGCAACATCCATTATCCATCTGTATACGATAGAGATCCTCTTTATATTAGCATTTCTTTTCTGATATAAAGAAAAATCTCCCCTGCAACACAGTAATAAATACGAACGATACGAGTGATAAATAATCTCTTTAACAAATATTGCATATTTTTATATTGTTGTGTGTCAGATGTCTGGAAACAAGTGTCGTAATTGCGGATCTACCGATATTGAGACTGATCCGGGACGTGGTGATGCGATTTGTACAAAATGTGGTTTTGTACTGGAAGATTCGGTTATTATTAGTCAAACAACTTTTGAGGAATCATCCTCTGGTAAAGTAATGGTACTTGGGCACTTTGTTGCTAACGATAGCACAGGTAGTGCTACAAATTTCGGTGCACGTAAGTCATTTATATAATATTATACGTTGTACATTGTAAGTTTCCATTCTTTGAAAGATGGTAAAATATTCACAAGTATGGGTGTTTTGCTTGTAGCTTATTATGTTAATGGAAAAGAATCTAGAGGAATTACCATACAAAATGCACGGAAAGGTATAACGCATATTTGCCAGCAATTACGGTACGTAACTTTTTATAATGTATTTGCGCAATGAAATAAAAAATATTTCATTGAACGATTATTTTTCATAAATCCGAAACTTATGTATTTTAGCTTAAATCAAAATTGCATCGACACATCTGTCAATTTCTACAAAATGGCTTTGAATCATAATCTGACACGTGGAAGGAAACAAGCTCACAACCAGGCTGCCTGTGTATATATTACCTGCCGTATTGAACAAACTGAATGTATCCTTTTGGCAAAATAGCGTAAAAAAGCAAAATGCATAATATTCCAATAGTGTGAAAAAGATTAATTCGAACCAATCTCCATTCTCATGTTTTTTCTAAGCGTGCAAACATGTTTTTATCGAGTATTTACGCATGCATTAATGCATACGTAGATTGCGTATCATCTCTATTAGGTTGTCCACGTAGAGCTCACGTTGAACAACCTACGAAAGATCAAGTATCAAGTATTGATTCTTAACGGCTTACATGTATGTATATATAGATATGCTCATCGACATCAGCGATATTCTTCATATTTGTGTTCATGAACTTGGACGGACGTACCTGCGATTTGCTCAAGTTCTACATATCAACATACCGACAGTGGGTAAGTAATTTGCATGATATATAATTACATATAACATTTATTTTTCTCTCTTGCTCAATATAGTACGTGCACAATTAAAAACTCGCGCGCGTATGTATGTAAAAAGGATAATTTATCTCGAGAGATAAATAGAGACCGGTGTATGTATGTATGTATGTATGTACAACGCGGTATATGAACGGGATAAATTTTGTTTATAGAACTAAAATATAATCTTGATAATAATCTGTGTGAGTTTAATATATACCGGCATACATAAATTGATTTTTTTTTTATGAATGAATATATAAACTGCGAAATCACATCTGAAAGAATATCCAACATATATTATATTTAAAATATATTTAAATGAACTGACTGGTTACAGTGAGCATTATTTTAAATCCATGTATCATACATGTGTATTATTAAAATCGATACTATAAATTAAAAACCTTAAATATATATATATATATATATATATTTTTTTTTTTACATATTTTATTCATAAAATTTCCACGTTTTAAAACAGATTTTTTAAATTATAACATCGTAATATCTGAAAAAGAGACCGTAAGTGGTTACTTTTTAGACTTTTCATTATATTTGACATTCCGAGGATTTTTTTAGTTTTTTATACAATTGCTACAATAATAAAATAATACATCAGCGATAAAGTCGCAAAAAGATGTTGTGTATACTCGATATTTTTTAAAAGATTGCCAAGTTTCAGGATATTAAATTAAACACATTGATTACATTTAAACATATTTTCATAACGTCATTTAACAGTACTCACAACTTGATAATTACATGCGCAGTGACAAAGCATTTATTTACTTTTCACACATGGATTAGTTTAGATAATATCCTTTACATTAGGAGAGTATCAATATTTCAAGTATATTTAGTCAAAACGATATTACGCGCTCTCTGACACACAGACCTCTTTTTTCTTTATACTCTATTATTATCCTAGATATATATTTACAATGTTTAAATAACCATCTTCTTTCGTACACTCGATACAAGACAAAAATCAACGTCATCGCGCAAATCGAGCAAAATGCTGCATCAGTTAGATATGCATAGAAAAATAGATGTGCTCTTTTCCTAAGGTATTTACACAAGTTTACCAACGAAACGGGTAGTGATAATGTACGGAAAAGATATTTTGGAAATTCTTGGAAATGTCACAACTAAATATATTTATTTACACGGCCAATAACGTTACGCAAACAGATATTAAAACGTCAAAAGTCTAGTACAAGCGCTCTAAATAACGAGACGTTAATTTTAAATATATATTACGTGTTACTTTCAACGTGCACAATATAACTGTACATACTATCTTTGCCCTCTACGAAAATATACGTTCCAAGTGAATCACGTTAGTATCGCACGTGCATATTAAAATTTGATATCGCTTTTGGATTTAAAACATTTTTATTTATAGCATTATATTTCAATCGCATATTCTTTAAGAAAATTACGTGACAATAATGTAATAGTACGTTTGGTGCGTAATCTAAAAATTTAAATAGATATATACAAGTTTCAATGAATATACATCTCATTACGTAATTAACAGACACGAGACGTCAAATAAGATTCACGTAATATTTCTATCTAGGAAGAAGGATACGTTCGCTGAAACATTCGCAACATTATAACGTAACTGTATTTACAATATAATAGAAAAAATACTTTTCTTCAAGTAGAATCGATACGGTAGCTGTGTATCTGAAAATATTAGATACGACACATCTTGTTCTATTTATCTCTACGTGTAAGTATTATTCTTCAGACGTTCCCAAAAAGTGTACTCTATCTAGACGTTGAATATATTCCCGAATATTGAGTATTTGACAACTATTTCGATTTGAAAGAATATTCATATCTGACGTTAAATCTGAATACTTGTGAAATACACCGTCCTTCCTCTCACATACGTCTCGAGAACTTTATCCGCGCGGATTTTATTCCCACGGAGTGATGAATGTTATCTAAATGTTTCTTTCGTGCAAGCCAGCAATTAAACCATAAGCTCTGTCGCGATCTTCTGTCAATCGTCGGATGGTGGCCCGTAGAAAATTAATTCGGGAATTTGTCCTCCTTGGACACCGGTACCGTTAGTGCTTTCGGAACTACACTGAAACTGAAAGTTTACACTGCCGACTGTCGCTTCCGACATACCTTCTTGACCGAAAAAACTCAGTTCCCCACCGTCTAATATTGCACTTGCCGTGTATGAACATTCTGGCTCGATTTGTATTGGATTCTCGAAATATACGTGAAACGTGTTACTCGAGCCGTCGGAGAAAAACTTGGTGTTATTCTCTGCCAGAACATTCCCGAGTCTCTTAAGTTCTATCTTGACGTTATAATCAGCAGCACCGGATGAGCTTCCGTATAGCCCAAAACCCACCACAAATATTCTTTTATCAACACTGAATTGAATTGAGTCGCAACGACCTCTGTATCGCCATTGATTTGACCTATATGCGCAGGATTGGAATCTGTGACAAACCTGCAAATAATATGTATTTTTTTAATTATCCAAACGTGTAGCCAGTTATAACCAGTATTATATATATTTAATGCCAGTTATAGTCGGTATCGTGTGTATATTTAATGCCACGGATATCGATAGCGCGCCATCGTCCTAATATGTATCAACCATCAGCCTCTGTTTTGACCGTACTATATGATTATTTGTTAGAAACGGATATAGCAGATATTTATTTGAAACTTGCTCACACAAAGTCTCTTATCTTCTCGATAATAAAATGACATAATACAAATGCGACCCAGGGGTGAGGCGCTTTATATTTTGTAACTTTTCAACTATACTACGTGATTTTTTCACTTACCTGAGTTTTCAGCCCTTGACGTGGCTTGGTAGGAAAACAAAGTTGTGGCTTATTACTGGCCGTAAAATGCAGAAACAAGTCGATTGTTTCTTGATGCGTTAAGATTCCTGTCTGTGCCGCACTATTTGCAAACTCTTCGAGATTCATAGCGGGAAGTCTAATTAAATACAAGGCAGATCCTAAAAATAAAAAAATATGTACACCCACATATACACGTGTACATTGATTCGTTTTGAAAAGAAAAACCGGCACTCTTACCCAACAATTGCCTTTGATTGGCGGGAATAGGCTCGAGATCTTGCCGTATGCATTCCGCTGAGGCCCATCTTAATGCAGCATCCCATATGTGGATTTCTTTGCAGTTTAGTGTCTCTCGAGATAAGACAGATTCGAGTGTATGAATATCAATATCCACAAAACCGTCAGATCTTAGGGCCATTTCTGCCTGTCACACACAATAGATTTGTATTACTTTATTAATATTGATGTTTGATCGCATATATAATATCATCGCGCATCCGTGTTACTTGATATAATGTTGTTGTTTGATGGCTATAATGTATACATAATCATTTCAAAGGTGTAACATGTGAATTATTTGTAATAAACCTTGAGAAAGCTTATGCATTTAATCAATATTTCACATATTATAATTTTATATAGAGTATAAACGTGTGTACGCTACATGGTATATTCCATCTTTTTCTCTCTTTTATATATACATATATATATGATATATATGCGCCGTCACGTTCTTCAAGATAATTTTTATACGATATTCGTATGGCATTATAGTACGTTGACAACTAAAATCTTTCCCTCTTCGAGTACGTCTCTTCGACGGAAAGGGAAACGGAAAGTCGTTCACATTTTTATTCTTATTTAACTTGTTCGCGTTAAGGCTTGTAATAAAGCTAAACAATATATATGATGTGTGTATGAAGAATTATGAATGGGTGTTGAAATATTACGTGAAATATTTTTATGAAAACGGCTATTAAGAGATAATAATAATAATATTAATAATAATAATAATAATAATAATTGATTATGGGGAAATTTAAAATCAGAAAATATATAAATATATAAATATTTCATAATACTAGTTGTAAAATATTTATATATTGTACATTATACATATATTGTGTGTGGAGGGAATTGTGTCGCTACAAAATCGGTCATAAAATATAATAAACATTTCCATTGTTTACTTGAAAAACGACCAATTTTATTCAACGTGCTTCGCCTTGATTAATCGTTACACTTGATACAAAGTATGTGAAATTATTCTTGATAAAATTATTTAATATTAATAAATAACATTGTATATTCAAAAAATTTGCAGTCTTTTTCATAAATCAAAACAAACGTCAACTATAACGTAAACATGTGCTACATACATTTATATTGGTGTATAAACTCATTGTACTCGATAAAATGTTGTTTAAAAACAAAAAAATGTAGTAAAAATCTATCAAAACTATTCTCACACGGATTGATTGTTGAATAATGTAATCTTTTTAATGCTTGCCGCAATATATATATATATATATATATATATATATATGTATATATTTAGAAAACCTGCCACGTATTTTTATTCGAAAAAAGGCTTAAAACACATACAAAAGTTGCATCACCCCGTGCGCACCTTCTCCAAAACTTATATTTACGTGATACGTGAACATTAAAACTCGAACGCTATCATCAGGAGACACTACGCTATACTTTCAAGACATCCTTAAATAACGTAACGTATACCACGCGGGTACGTAACAATAGCATAAATGTCATTTTTTTTTTTTTTTAAATAAAAATCATTTATAGCGATCAACATTGTTATAATACAAATCCAGCTGTAAAAAGAATAAAAAACAAATAATAATATTTTTCCATTTAACCACGTTACACGCACGTGTATCAAGAGATTCAATACAACTGAATATATATATACACATATAAATCCATCGACTTTCGTTCACTTTTACTTAGCTGATTACTCGCGTGATATCTGTCGCTGTGCTAGAAACATTGTTATGGTTGCTTTTACCGCGCTCGTATTCGTCTATTAACGTATCCTGATACATGATATTTTGTGTGACTTCAATCTGATCTACGTTATTGTCCGGAAATAAAGGTTCACTTCGTGTTCGGAATAGCGAGAGAGACAAATGCTCATCCGCGAGGACGTTTGTACAACAATCATTTTCCGAGAGACTCAAACAGTGCGGCACTATCGATAATCCGCTCTTGAAACTTTCGCACGTGTCATCGTTCACGCCGCCGTTGCTTTTACATGCTGCACGTCGATATCGCAGCGTGTCGACGTTCGTGTCATAAACGCAAGAACGTAAACTCGAAATGTGCGTGACCGAGTCGCTAGAGGGTCGACTTGAGTAATCTTCGAGCGTTCTATCCAAGTTCTTGTCGCTCAAAGTAATGGTTCTTAGCGTCCGTTGCATTTGACTTACTTGTGCATCAATCACCTCCCAGCAACGTTGCATGAGATTGGGTTCTTCAAACAGGCGAGATTGACTCAGAAGCAGGCACGCGTTCTTCGCCGTGAGACTCGTTTCCAGATAATTGACACACGCCCGTGCCAAGTGTGGAACTATATATTTTTTCGCGACGTATAACGTCGCTAGAACTGTATCTGCTTCTAGCTGCACTTCGTCGCAATACATGTACCTAAAACAAAACGTATATCGCACGACCATTACAACACAAAGGACAACTTTCCGTATGACGCATAATGAATATCGACAAATATTACATAATGTACGTTTCTTCTGATCTTCCGATACGAATGGTTGTTTACTACCTGCGGTTTACGTCTTCTTTTAATAATATACGACAATATAGTTCCTAAGATCTAAGGATCTTGTTCAACAGACTTGTTCAACGCGAATATATAAAGAAAAGAATATCAATACGTTTACATTTTATACATTTTGTTTGCCCGGTTGCGCTTACCTCAACAACGCGAGAAAGGCTGCTGGTTCAACGTCAGGCACTTCTATGTCTCTTTTATTTTCTGGTAACCCTCCGTAGAACATGGCATAAAATACAGAACTGCCAGTAGCGAGGACATATTTATGTGCTGGTATCGTTTGTGTGTGACCTATAGTATTGATATACGAGATGTGTATATAATATCTTTCTCTGAATAACGTGTACGAGTTGAAAGAGGAAGACGAAGGTAAAAACGTTCAACAAGTACCTGGACTGCCAACGATAAATATAATATCAGCCATAAGATGATTATTAAACATCGCCGCGTTTCGTTCTCGAACTGTAGGTTTTGTCGCTTGCCAATTGGGATCTTGGGTACAATCTCCGGGTGATAGTAAATTTACGTGGGTCACGGGTGAAGATAAGGAAGACAGAGGCGATGCAGGTGCGCTCAATGGCTGATTCACGGTGATTCCTTCGCGTTGTAAGACGATAGACGAGGAGAGTGGACTCACCGATGGTGGTGAATCTGATGTATTACTTGGAGATTCCGCTAGAATTTAAAGAAAAAAGTCAACTTTCTATCACGTCACACACACAGATATACACATATCAAATATATTAAATATTATTAAAATTGAGAAACATTATCAGGGTGAAAACTTGGAAATCGCCCACATATAACGCGCGCGCACGGGTGTGTGTGTGTGTGTGTGTGTGTGTGTGTGTGTGTGTGTGTTGCCAATAAGGCAAGTGATTGTGCGATACATCTCAAAATATCACTTGCAATAAACTGACAATAACTGAGTAAAAGTAGTTGTAGGTTTCTCCCTCTCAAGCCGATTCACGTTAAATCTTGTTCAATCAACGTACACAAGTGTTGAATTAACGATCGATACAAGAGACAAGTAACGTTTGGATTTTTCTAAAAATAAGCAGAGTTATATTCCCAGAGTAAGCAACGTATCCGCAAATGGCAACGACGTCAACCAGACCACCTAACGTGTGTGCTAGTTTTCGTTTGACATCAATCAAATTTTGTGTCGGCAGAGCCTGCTAGACATAATCCAACCCTAACGACATTTATTTTATATTAGCAGCTCAAACCGAGCGGACACTGTTGAACGCTAAGATTCTATCGACACACTTTCTCATCTCCGGCGACAATCTGCATCACATTCCTGGCAAACTTTGCTGCAAATATTTCTGCCAATGGCATCGCGTCCATGCCAGATCCTTTTATTTTTCTGCAGAGACAAATTTTTGGCTGTCTGGTTTATTTATTTTCGTTTGTAAACTTAAATCTTTATTTTATTACCAACAACATCAACATATATACGTATAATTTTTTTTTCTTGACGATCTCGTGTCAAATCCATCGTAAAAATCCATTAAAAGATTTAAATTTCTCAAATTTCATTGTGTCGAAAATGTAATATCAAAAATTCAACAGAAATAACTTGAATAACTTGATGTGTGATACGTGTGTGTGTGGAGAGACGTGAGAGTTAAGGTTAGGTTATGTAAAGATCTCGAGTTTCTTCAGCTCCAAAGTTTTCCGAGTATTTTGCGCACATTTGAGAGACACGTCCATCTCTCTCACTCTCTCCTCCACGGGCTTTGAAATAAAGGCTGTAAATTTTGAAAACAAGGCATCCGTTATCTTGGACACAAATCGCATTGTTTACCGTCAGTATACATTATTTAGTATGTCGTCCAAAAGTTGCCAAATCCCCCGTCTTCCTGTTGCGATAATTTAGCGTGGTTTCGCGTTGATTTTCACCAAATTTTTATCTCATTGATTTCCGTATTTTTAATTATTGTACGGATGTCAAACAGAGTAACGAGCACCTTTTCGCGACACTGGCGTGAATGTGCATCGTGCACAGTGCATGGCGCGTGGCGACTGGCGACATTGGCGACGGCGTGAGGCCGTAAGGCGTAAACGATGCGTAAAGTACCTATACCTATACAGTGAGAAAATATAATTTCGCACTTTGTTTCGACCACCGACGACGTATAAGAAGCGCGTTCGCCTGGAGCGCGCAGAGATCCGCGCAGAGAAATTAACAGAGAAGTAGAACGTACATACGTGCGAAATTACATTATAAAACTAGGTATCTATCCTTGTGTTCGTTTTTCTCATTACTGGGTCAATATATTTGATTCATCTTTCTTTTATTCTGCTTGTCATGTACGTGGTTTTTTTTCTGAATTTTAATTATGGCTTGAAATAAATCAGTGTTTTTTGCAACTTTACTCTCTCGTTACGCAACCTTTAATAAAATTATGATTGTTTTCTTATAAGGAAGAATCAAATCATTTTTAATTTCTAAAGAAATTTAACAAAAATGGTAAAAATTGTAGATTCAGTAAGTCTCAAAACAGAAAAAAACACACACACACACACACAAATGTCAAAAGACCTAAGAAACTTACAAAAGAATACTTGGAGAAGATTTTAATGCTATATCTAGCATATCAAACACATATCTTGCAATGATTTACTCTCTTCTTCCTCATCTATTTCAAATCAAGGCTACCAAGTGACAAATGAGATAAAAAATAAAAATAAATCCTTGTAGTGTTATTCTTCACGTATCCATTCCTAGTTCAAAAATGATTTTGACATAAATAGATAGAAATATGTAGAAAATAATTTACTGTTAAAAAAATTGATATTTCACACTCTCCCCCTTTAATGGATGCTTTTCATTCAATAATAGAATCAGCACGTGTATCGAACATATCTTTTCTCTTTTTTATTCAACTCTTAATCGATTGCATAACATATAAATGGAATCGATAATAAATTCACAATTTTTTTTCTTTATTATATGACAATTAAATCAACATAACGTAATGGTAAAAAGGAGTGAACTAAAATAAACTCAAATTAAGTTTAAAGCAGAGGTCCTCTCTCTCCCTCCCTTTCTCTTTTCTTCCCTTCCCTCTCCGCCTCCTCCTGCTCCTCCTCCTCCTCTTTTCCCTCTTTCATCACTCCGCGCTGTCACACGCACGCACGCACACACCCTCTCTCTCTCTCTCTCTCTCTCACCGTTCATCCAAGCATTGGTCTGTTTGACCGCGACGTTGTCCTGAAAACGCTTCATTGGCTTGGTAGAGATTTTCGAGTAGAGATTCGACATTGCCATCGTCGTCGACGTTCGAACGGTGGCGTCAGCTCAGCCCACGTCAGCCTTTCCCTTCCCGTCGTCGTAATCTCCTCTGGTGCGCGCGCGGTTCACAAAACTACTCCGAGTCACTCCGCGGAAGATCGTGCGCCGTCGGCTAAACGGCCGCCATTTCCCATCCCATATGTATCATGTATGTATGCAGATGTAACAGATATACGTCTGTACGGCGCGGCGCGGCGACCGTACGGTAAAAGCGCTGCGCCGCTGCATTTCATTGGTCGAGCAGTGCCGCCACCGGCGCCACCCGCCACCCGCCACCGTTATCAATTATCACAACCATGTCGGTCGATAGCATGCAGACATGAGAATATAGTCGATATAGGATCACTGAAATATACAGGATTCGAAAACAACTCTATTGTCCCGCAAATATCAAATTCCTGACTCGATTTTGAAATGATTTTTCCCGTAGCAAAATTTTCGCCGAAGCTTATTAATTATCGAGTTATAAAAGGAAATAGTTATACCTATTAATTACGGGGGGTGCGGGTACAGGAGGTGGGCACTGGGCAGGGACGGCGCAACTTACCCGCGTCGCGGGCGCGCGTCACCGTCTCCGCGCTGGATGTAATCCGTTAGCGTGCATTCGCTTCGTACTTGCAGAGATAATAACGTGATATACTTATATCGAGAATTTTTTATCGCGTTGATGCAAAGATGATCGGCTCGCGGAAGCGAGCAATGAGGCGTCTATTGCGCGATCAGCTGTCGCGCCACCCCTGCCTACCTTTTGTATTCGAACTCGGCCCGCGTAATCCGTAATGACTGCGTTCGGAAATGTCACCCGCGTCACCCGGGTATACTGCTCCCTTCTCCTTCTAACTCGCTGAGATAGAAAGAGAAGGGAGTATATATATATATACTCGTGTGCACTCGGGTCACTCGCGGGTGACGTTTTCGAACGCAGCCAATGCGTCTATTGCGCGACTATTAAAATGTTAAAAACAACAATTTTTTAAACTGGGAATGATGTACACTTTAAAATGACTATTTAAAATATATGAAGAAGAAAAAGCCATGTACCAAAAGCGATGTACCATCGCTACATCAATAATATAAAGTATATAAACAATGATACTTTGAAACATCGACTACATTACTTTTTCGTATATTTCTATTTCGTGAAAACAAACAGATAATGGCTTCTGCTCACAGGAGACGCGGAAACGCTTGCCGCGCGGCAAGCGTTTCCGCGTCTTGTGGACAGAAGCCATAAGCGTATATGTTCGTATGCATATATATGTATTATATATGCATATTAAAAGCTGAAAGAGTTGAAATACGTCGTATGTGTACATATATACATACGTAAATGCGACATATTAATTATTTGAATGAGAAAATAAAATATTAAGAGAATATAAAGCTTTTCATTTAATATCTAGGATGAAACAAAGATTATATATTCTTATATTCTTCATAACACATGTAAATTTATTTTTTTATCTGTCTCGTTCAGATCCTTGTTTATACATCATGAGGTTTGCGCACAAGCTTGAATTTGGTGATAAAACTCACGCCGTGTCCAATACGGCTTTAAGAATCGTTCAAAGAATGAAAAGGGATAGTATTCATAGTGGTCGTAGACCATCAGGTCTGTGTGGCGCAGGTATGTGCAGTGGTAAACATGTATCAATATGACAATATTTTTATTATTTATTACACACACACACACACACACATATATATGTGTATATATTTGTATTTTCTCTGCAATAGCATTATTAATAGCTGCGCGAATACATGAATTCAGTAGATCAACTGCTGACATTATAAAAATTGTCAAGGTACACGAATCGACCCTACGTAAAAGGTAAGACATATCTTCTAGACAGATATTCATTTATATCTACATTTAATATTTCTGTAATAGCATCCATGTATATGACGGATGTCTTTCTCTCTCTTCTTTCATTTATAGATTGATAGAATTTGGCGATACACCATCTAGTGGGTTGACATTAGATGAATTTATGACAGTGGATTTGGAGGAAGAACAGGATCCTCCAGCATTTAAAGCAGCCCGTAAAAAGGATAAGGATCGTTTACAAAAAGTAAGAATCTCTTTTCTTAAACTGTAATATTTTCTGCTTGAAAGTCTTTTAATCGAATTATCTTATATATAATATTTTATATGATACTTTTACATTCTAATGATATTTCTCTTTCTAGTTGGAAAACATACATATGGAAATAAGTGAGCTGCAAGCGGAAATTGATAGACAATTAGAAGATTATAGAATAGGGAAAGGAAAAAAACGAAAAGATGGTAATTTTGGTGTTTTATAACATACATTACTTAATAACAATAAACACAAAAAGAACAACTACGTTATTTAGACATACGAAAGATAAACTCTTCAGAAGGAAAGGGTATACTTGAGAGATATTTCAACGTATATTTCCATTTCTTCCAACGTAAAATATGTGAAATATCTAAATATACCTAAAATATATTTCGATACACTTTTCGATACGTTTGTTTTAATATCTCAACACTTGTACATATGTATAATGACGAGAGAGGAATCGATTAATATAAAAAAAAAACAACTACTAAATACCAGGTACACGTGTATATTGAAATTCCATTTATCTATGTACATACCTACAAGGAATAGAGTCGTCACGTGATTTCTCTCATCATTTTTTTATAAAAGTAATCAAGTGTCATGGCAATAGTAGTAGTACGTTAAACATATAGTTATCAAAAAGTGATTTTACGAGATATACAAGACTACAAAATCCTATCCTCCTCAAAACGGAACACGTTTGAAACTGAATACGTGTATTTCAATAACCATTACTTTTGAATATATTTCCGACTTATTCCGTTACTTACGTTATACTACGTTCACCCTATTTATATACACGTGCATTAGTACGTGTTTTACGGTACATCTTTTGCAGCATCTTTTATAGAGAGCGAGGACGCAGATAGATTTATTCGGGAAAGTAACTTGAATATAATCCAACAATATGTTGAGAACAATATTGATGATCCTGATGAGAAAGTTGGAGATGCTGTTTTAGATGAAAATAATACTTCACTTATAACTGGGTTAGGTAAGCATATATATGTGTCTATATATAAATACGTACATTACTTTATATTTTATTATCAACATATTTATAATTTTTTTTATGCGTCGCATGCAGGTCCGGATATAGCATCTATGATGTCTGCGAACGATCATTCGAATGAACCCAAGGAGAAGGATAGTACGTTCGAAAATGTAAGACGTATCCTTTTTATTCTCGTTGAGTTGACGTATAACGTACGCGTCCAACTATAAAGCAATATTTCATTAAATACTTGCAAGGAAATACGTACATTGTGGATAGATTAAAATCAAAAACACATATCTCTTTTTTATACGTATTTTCTTCTTAAGCACGTTAACGTATTCGCCGCCAAGGGACGTTACCTGATTTTCCGCGTCGTGAAAAATATATTGATTTGAATAACGAAAAGAACCATGAGATATCAAATGTTATTCTTTCTATTTATGGTGTATTCAGATTTTTTGAAAATGTTCCATTTTGCGTGTATTTTCTTATTAGATTCATATTTGAACGTATTTAAATCTATTGACTCACATCGTTGTTCATTCTCTGAATATACAAAACACTTTAGCGGGCTATACTGTTTTCAGGCTTCTTCGGAAATCTATACGAATGATATCGATGATGATGAATTAGACAGCTATATTCTTTCGGAAAAAGAATCGCAATCTAAATCTGCCCTTTGGAATAAAATAAATGCTGATTATCTTGTTCAACAAAAAGAAAAGGAAGAGAAACGTTTAAAGGAAAAAGAAGAAGGTAAACCTGAAAAGAAGAGAAGAAGAACGACCTCGAAAAAACATAAAACTCCTGCGAATACTGCGGGTAAGTTGCGCTCTCTCTCTCTCTCTCTCTCTCTCTCTCTCTCTCTCTCCCTCCCTCTCCCTCTCTCTCTCCCTCTCCCTCTCCCTCTCTCTCTCTCTCTCATCTATATATATTTTTTATTGACATATTTATACGTTATTAAGCCCTCTTCCATTCTTCTCTCCATTAGGCGAAGCAATCGAAAAAATGCTGCAGGAAAAGAAGATATCCTCCAAGATTAATTACGAAGTGTTGAAAAATCTAAACAATCAACAAAATAATCAAGAGTCACCAATCACAAAGACATCGTCCGAGTTTGACACGTCAAGTTTTAAGAAACCGTTAGTACAGATTATTTTACACGTATGTCATTAAATCGCGTGTCAAGTACACGATAATTTTTTTTCTTTTTTGTACACGTAGGATAACGGTTACGTCTACACTAAAGTCAGCAGAGGCTTTGTTAATAAAAAAATACCGTTCCATTAAGCCAAATACTCAACAACTAAAGAAAACATTGGATAAAACATTAGATGGTAAAACACCTAAAAAAGAAGAGGAGGACGTCACGAAGAAAGAAATCACGTCAATGGAAACGGATACACCTATAGTGGACACATCTGAAATCGGTTGTGTAATCTTTATCTTTCTTTAGAATATCTTTATTTTATCATGGATTATCATATATAGTTATCATATATACTTTATTATTTATCTATTTTTCGTGCAGTATATGAAACGGACGATTACCTTGATGAAGAAGAACCTGATGCTACGGAAATGTCACTTGGACAGATGCTCGAGTCTCATGCAACATCCGAGGGCGAATTTTGCGACGATGGTTACGAGTACGAATAAAAACCTAAATGTTTACATAATTTTCTTTTATTTTATTATTCATTCGTATTATTATAAAAGTAAAAACGTCGTAGAAAAATGTTAGCGTGTAATCTAAAAAAGTGACTCATTTTTTAAATACGTATCTTGTAATAATACAACCACGTTAACGCTGCATCGGTCATATCTCATTAAATTTTTCCATTTTGGTATTTCCTCTTGTATTATACATATATCGCGCACAATAGCATGCATGAGAGATTAACCAATCCAGAGTACGTCCGTTGATTCCGTTCCGTTTGTCTGAGTATGGACTGGTGTGGATAGCCTTAACTTTTATTGGTTTTTATTGGCTTCTGCACACAGGAAGCGCGGCAAGTGTGTTTTCGCGCCTAGTTTTCGCGTCCTGTGAGCAGAAGCCATTATTATGTCGGAGCCCGACCTGCGCCTGGCTCCTGATTGGTCACCGCAGCATTTGCCGGAGCTCGCCGCATCGGACGAACCCAGCCATAGACCTAGTTTACATCGATCACTTGATACGCGTATTAAATAGTAAATAACTAGTAAATAAGTCTGATTATTGGCTGATTAGTTCAAATATACTATTTGATACGCGTATCAAGAGATCGGTGTAAACTAGGCCATAGAACGCGATTACACGCTAGGGAATAAACACGTTACTGTTGCAATGGCCAATCAGACTTCTGTTTTTCTGGAAATAACAATACGTAGTGGAAGATGATTGGCTACTGCGTTGTTTCACACGTATATACCGAGATGTATGTGCGTATGTTTGTATCTCTTTCTTTCCCCCGCCCCTCTCCTTTCTCCTTCTTCCCTCTTCCATCACTTCTCCTTTTATTATACTTTCTAGAGTATTTTATATCCATATTCCAACGAAAAGTAATAAGGCTTTATAGCTTCTTATGATGCCCTTCACCTTATATTGTGCATTTAATCATGCGAGGAACAAATAATCGGATAAAATGTACGAATCGATCTGTGGTGCAAAATTTATCCGCAAAGAGCTTTAAATGAACGAGTAAGTCCAACTTGCATTTTATATACTTTCGAGTATATTTATAAAAATGTTGAAATCTCATTCGGATATAACCGCTGTTACAGTGGCACATTATTTTATATTAGTATGTTTGTACGTATGTACTTAAAGGTTTCGTATAATTCAGGTTTTATTTAACAGTTAACGATTTTATTGCCAGTTACAACAACAACAACAACAACAATGCATTATCGAGACATTAAGTAAAGTGAAAGCTCGTGATTTTTCTATAAACGAGAATTTTGACGACACTAACGAGAGATCCAACGTTAGGATTCTGTTGTACATGTCTCCTTGTCTAAATATATTAGAGTAAACTTGTAATTATGAAAACAAAAAAGAGAGATTATTTATATAAAGTCATTCTGCGTAACAGCATGCTAACACGCGGGCTAGATGCATTTGTCAATGATGATAATCGGATCAAATAACGATTTTATTAGTTAATGTATGTTGACATTTCTTATTTTAGTAGCTGTGACAAAGAAAAGAGACTTTTGGATCGTACATTTTGTATATTGAGACAAAATATATCTTTCAACTACGTTCATCTAATATATTCATTCTCCTACTAATAAATTATTATCTTTCACGGATTTTGTTCAAACATTTGACAAGTCTTTTTTAATTATACATTTTTACCTATATTTCAGGGAATATTACGTTAACGTGTGCCACAATACATATATATAAATAAACGGAATATTTTCCATTAAAATGTTTCCTAGTATCCAGAAGAAGGACTGTAGAGTCCTGGATTTAGTACGTCAAAGAGAGATACAAGTAAGTTGTTCTCAAAGTGATATTTTAGTATACTGTTGTTTGTAATGTATTTTCGGATTGTATGTATTATATATACGTTTAATTATAATATAGGATTCAGTGACACATACAATTCTACAAAAGCTGCATGTTACTGAAAACTTAATATCACGTCTTGGTTTGGAAAAGGAATTGAATGGTCACTCGGGATGCGTCAATTGTTTAGAATGGAATGAAAGTGGACAGTATGTATCGCGATGTTGTGCCACGTTACACGTTACTTGGTTTCGAGGCACGGATTTATTTACGTGATTATTGCGCGATATCTTATTTGTACACAGAGTCCTCGCATCGGCATCGGATGACAAAGACATTATATTGTGGGACCCTTTTCGTTATGAAAAAAAATTGGTACTTCATTCGGGCCATCGTGGAAATATTTTCTCTGTAAAGGTGACGTAATATCGTACGCTATTCCTTCCGCAACATTGTTGTTGATGTATAACTTTATATGAAATAATATTAATATGTCTTATAGACAAACGTATTGGGTGTATCTATCCGAATAACGTCCGAAGCTTGCGTATATACAATACGTCGTTGCAAACGATATAACGGAGCTAGACTCGGCAAACAAAATTATTGTGTTTTTGCAAAATTATTCTAGCATACGTTACAGCATAAAATATATTATTTTCAACACTTCTCGCGCGAGATCTTTCGTTTTGACATTCGTCATATTTGCTTTTAGTTTATGCCAAAATCAAATGACAGTGTACTGGTGTCAGGTGCGGCGGATTGCAGGATTCGGGTGCACGATCTCATGCTCTCCGAACCGATATTCACATGTAAATGCCACAAGCAGCGTATCAAGCGTATCGCTACCGCTCCCAGTATACCATTTTTATTTTGGAGCGCGGGCGAGGATGGTCTCTTTTTGCAATATGACATTCGTACGCCACACGTATGCAAGAGTACGGATCACAGCGTACTCGTGAATCTGGTATACCATACGGGTTGTTACGCAGAGGGCAAATGCATCGCTGTAAACCCGAGGAGACCCGAACTGATAGCCATCGGCGCTAACGACGCTTACATTCGGATGTATGATCGACGAATGATAAAACTCTCGCAGGTGATTCACGTTATTCTTCGTCTCGAGATGCCACCAAGTTTCACACGTACAACTAAATATTTTTTACATCATATAGGTTCCACCATCTCCCTCCATACATGATACGTCGAATGGGGCAAATATCAGCACATATCGAGCAGGCAAAGGTGATCCGGATGATAATATTCCACTGGGTAGCGCGCAGTACTTTATCGCGGGTTTGTTCCTACAGAGATAGCAGAGATGCGCTCCTTTTATCCCTATATTTTCCTTTTCCGCTAAATATTACACCATCGCTTTAACTTAAACAGTTATTCGATCTAATGTCGAACAGGTCATCTCCGCTCTCGTGACGGTACCAGGAGTATTACGACCACCTATTTGACATTCAGTGACGATGGAAATGAGCTACTTGTGAACATGGGTGGAGAACAGATTTACCTGTTCGACATCAACGATCCGAACAATTCGAAAACATTTTTCGGTTCATCATGGAAATATCCAGGTACGTGGCCGTGCTTCTGTTGTACGTGTCATGCAAGTAGAACGTACTGTTGCATATATGCTATGTAATACCTCCCTTTTAATAGGATCGTTTGAGCGAGATCAAAAACTTGATGAGTCGTGCGTGAAACAGAACGACGTAGATGATACGGGAGATTTTGTAGACAAAAATGTTAAGGTATTGCCACCGCATGTTGAAGAAATAAAGCGCCTAGTAAGTCTGTACAGAATTATTTCTTATGCACATGTATAAACAACAAGTGTCTTGATGTGAAACATACTTCTTTATATGTTAAAAACATATACAAGCATAAAAACGCTCTACAAGCATGGAAAGTCAGACTTGACGTGGAGATGTTGTGAAAAATTACAACTCCACCCAAACATTCTTTTATCCATTTTATGATTTTTTCACTTGTAGGTTTTATGTTTTGCATCATCTTTTTGTAATACATTTTGATTGTTGTGTTTAAATATTTTTAAGGAGAGAGAGAGAGAGAGAGAGAGAGAGAGAGAGAGAGAGAGAGAGAGAGAGAGATCAGAGATACATATGAAAGTTATACAGAGTATTGAGCAGATTTTTAAACAAGTTTGAATTTATAACGCTACGTTTAACACGATGCTTTCTTTGGTTAACAGGCAAACGAGGGTTTTGAGCAACAGAAATATTCACTAGCGATTAATTTGTATAATAAAGCGATCTCAAACTGTCCAACGGCAGCGGTATTGTTCGCTAATCGAGCAGCTGCTTATATGAAACGCGCTTGGTAACTATTCTCGCTGATAACAGTATGTATAAGATAAATACGTATAAAATCGTGTATTTACATATATATAAGTGTCCGTAATTGTGATATTCCTAGGGATGGCGATATTTACGCTGCTTTACGTGATTGCAAGACAACATTGCTTCTCGATCCAGAACACGTGAAAGCTCATTTTAGGTAAAACCAATATACACTAACGGTTATACGTGAAGACGTTGAGTGAATGTTCACGCGCGACGCGAGATAGGTCATATATGTGAACGTCTTCCATCTTTACAATGGCCTATAGTTTACACCGATCTCTTGATACGCGTATTAAATAGTATATTTGAGTTGATCAGCCAATAATCAAACTACGTTACTACTTATTTACTATTTAATACGCATATCAAGTGTGATCGGTGTAAACTAGGCCACGTTCAACTACAGTTTATATCAAAAACTTGCATCTTTATATTTGTATTTGTATTTTCAAGTAGCTTAGCACATTAGTATACCATTAATATTCTCAACTCTTCACGTTAACCTTTTATATTTAAATGAACAAATATTATTTATGTATTATTGAAATCCATTAATGTAATACATTATTTACACGTGTGTATAGATTGGCACGTTGCTTGTTTGATTTAAATCGATCGATTGAAGCTGATAAGGTGCTCAAGAATTTTCAACAAAAATTTCCAGAATATGCGTCCAATTCAGCATGCAGAGCATTGAAGATGGACATAAAAGAAGCTATCGATGCCGGTAAAACTATTATATTTTAATTTTATTCTTTCTCTATATAAAAATACTGTAAAAATTAAAAATGTATACATATACATACATTTACGTAGCGTTAATACGGTACACCACTGATAAGATTTAAATGGTCTTGTGGGAACGCGTGCACGTGTCAATATTTGAACAGTTAATGTATGTCATATAAATATTTGGACACGTAGTTTATAATACTCTATTAAGCTTATAGTTTATTGTTATTCAGACAATATTTTATGTTTATTTATATATCATAAAGATGATATTGCACAATCTCCAAATGAACTTGTTTAAATGTTTACAACAGTTTACATACGTGAAATCGATAATGTCTTTGCTTTTTAGTAGAGTTCGTGCCGGTTATTTACTTGATTAACGTATAAAAATTTATGTGAAATTTAGTCTCTAATAAATATCTCGTTGCTAATACTTGGAAATGAGTTACGTTTCACGTATTATCCGTTAGGTAAAGATATCACGCAAACCAGGCAGACATTTCTTCCGCTATCGGAGTATGAGCAAGAATGGAGACGCAATACGATCGACTACAAAATGAGATTTTGTGGTCATTGTAATACTACGACCGACATAAAAGAGGCAAATTTCTTTGGAAAGTAAGCAAATTTGTAAACAGCAATATACGTATAGCAACTAACAGTTACGTCACGTTCTGAAATCTACATTATTTGCATAAGGTTTGTCTTTTGTTAATCGTGTTAATGTAAAGTTAACTTTCTTTTCAAGCAATGGTCAATATATAGTGGCTGGATCGGATGATGGTTCCTTTTTTATTTGGGATCGTAATACTACCAATATCGTACGCGTGTTGCGAGGAGATGAAAGAATCGTTAATTGCTTACAACCACACCCATCTATGTGCTTGTTAGCTACCAGCGGCATTGATCCAGTAATCAGATTGTGGAGTCCATGGCCAGAGGTAAATCATATCTTTTGATTTTTTTTCTTCATTTAATCCGTGCATATGCAGTAAATATACTTGTATATACGCGCGCGCGCATGTTGTTATAATCTAATATACGTATACTGCTTACGTAGTTGACTTACCTATTTTTATGATTATTCAAATAATCTATTTCAACAAAAATTGAAGAGCTGAGCGAGGAGAAAAGAGGGAAGAAAGGGGAGGGGCCTATAATCGAAAGCTCACTTTTATTTCGATCGATAGTTCAAAAGATTTAACACTTTTCTAAAAGTTCAAAAAGTTGGAATTTAGAAGTTTCTATATAAGCTATATCTTGTTCTTAATCTTGATCAAATGGTTAAAAGTAAACAAAAAAATTAAAAAAGAATTAACAAACAAACCGCAGCTATTCTACATATATGCTAAAAGGAAAAGATTTCTATATATAATAAAGTTTATTTTTCTTTGGCAATCAGTTTATTGTAAAGTAACTGTTGACGTACTAAAGATAACGTTGTGCATAGACACGTGACGAAAATGTATGGAATGCAAAGATGCTTTTTGTTACGATTCCAGAAACCTTCGGGTACCTCTTTGTACATTTTTGTCACGTGTGCTTGTGGAAAATATCACGAAACAGAGGCATAATATAAACTAAGCGAAAACTTATTTAACAACACAGGACTCGAAGATACACACGCAAAAAATATTGCAACGTCTATTAATTTAATCTTAATTTTGACACACACACACACACACACATACGCATACACACACATATATATATATATATATGTGTGTATATACATATATATATATATAATATGTG